ATCTCTCTTGTGTGTGTGTGTCTCTCTCTCTGTCTCTCTTGTCTCTTTCTCTCTCTCTCTCTGTCCATTTCTCTTGTCTGTCTCTCTCTGTCTGTTTCTCTTCTCTCTCTCTCTGTCCATTTTTCTTGTCTCTCTCTCTCTATCTGTTTCTCTTCTCTCTCTCTCTCTCTGTGTCCGTCTCTCTTGTCTCTCTCGTGCTTGAGACTGAATCACCTTGCTGACTGTTTGTTTTCTGTCCTTTATTACCAGGAGCGCTTCCAGGTGAAGAATCCTCCACATACCTACATCCAGAAGCTGAAGAGCTACTTGGATCCAGGAGTCACCAGGAAGGTAAAAGGGATTCTGGTTACACAGTCAAGATTAAACGCCTTGTTACACAGAGAACCTCTGTCAAATGATGGCAAATTGTTCAATGTGTACAGGACATTGGTTCGGCCACTTTTGGAATAATCAGTTCTGGTTTCCCTGCTATAGGAAAGATGTTGTTAAATTTGAAAGGGTTCAGAAAAGATTTACAAGGATGTTGCCAGGTTTGGAGGGTTTGAGCTGTAGGGAGAGGCTGAATAGGCTGGGGCTATTTTCTCTGGAGCGTTTGAGGCTGAGGGGTGACCTCATAGAGGTTTATAAAATCATGAGGGGCACAGACAGGGTGAAAGGCCAAGGTCTTTTTCCCAGGGTAGGGGTGTCCAGAACTAGAGGGCATAGGTTTAAAGTGAGAGGGGAAAGATTTAAAAGGGACGTAAGAGGCAACATTTCCACATAGAGGGCGGGGCGTGTATGGAATGAGCTGCCAGAGGAAGTGGTGGGCGCTGGTACAATTACAACATTTAAAGGGCATCTGGATGGGTGTATGAATAGGAAGGGTTTAGAGGGATATGGACCAAGTGACAGCAAGCCATGTATGGAGATTTTGTGAGAGTTGATCAAAAGCCTGGTCAAGGAGGAAGGTTTTAAGGACTACCTTAAAGGAAGGGAGAGAGGTAGAAAAGTGGGGAGGTGTAGGGAGGGAATTCCTTCAGCTTGGGGTCTTGGCAACTGGAGCACAGCCCATTAGTGGCTGAAAGATTCACTTCAGGAGCAGTCCAGAGAACACAGTTAGTTGAGTTCAGATATCTTGGAGTGTTGTTAGGTGACAACACATTGCAGAGCCAGGGAAAGATGAAGGAAACCAGGATGAGAACTTTCAAACTGAGCTGTCGCTTAATCAGGAACCAGGGCAGGTCAACGGGCATGGGTGATGGGTGAACAGGGCTGGGTGTGAGTAAGGACATAGGCAGCAGTGTTTTGCATGCTATGTATATTCAGGGTGTAATGTGGGAGAACAGCAGGAGTGTGTCGGAATGGTTGATCCGGAGGTGACAAAGGCATGGATGAGGCTTCCCACAGCAGATAAGCTGAGGCAGAGCAAAGTGAAGCAATGCTATGGAGGTGGAAAGAGGTGGCTTTAGTGAGGCAGTGGATATGCGATCAGAACCTAATCTTGGGATCAGATGTTTTGCAAACAATCTGGTTTATAATTGTGATTCCACAAAGACATGAGTTGTACCATTTTTCTCATGTTGCAGTTCATGTGGTCTTTTGTTTAATGCCCCAACGGGGAAACAAGCAAATCTACACCCTACTCTAATCTCACTTCTCTCTTCGTTGTTGTAGAAGTTCAGACGTCGAGTGCAAGAATCAACCAAAGTGTTGCGGGAACTTGAAATCTCCCTCCGAACCAATTACATCGGGTGAGTATGCTGTTATGGTGGAATTTGAACCTGATTCATAGAGAATTACTTTGGGGATTGCTGACATGTCCATGAATCCACCGTCTGCCCGAGGTTGCCCCATAGTTACCCCAACAGGGTAGCATGAAATTAGTGCTATTGGTTTTGCTTCTGAGCTTTCAGTTAGCAGGTGGCTAAAAGCTCAAACTAGTTACTGCTACTTAAAAGAGAGACAAATAAAGAATTACAAGTCTTGAAATTGCCAGAAGAAAAGGGCATTTCAAGGGTTAAGCCAGGGGGGCGTCTGAATGAAAAGGAATACAATCTGTTGAGGGTTGAGCATGGGCGTTAGTAAATGAATGGTGGAAACACGGTTCGGATATGCCATTGTGCAGCCTCAATTACACAGCAGGCTGGGATCGAATTGCTGGGAGGAAAAGCCTCCCATTATCTGTGGTACAATGGCTTCCTGCACACTGCTGAATCCACGAGATCGAGTGATAATGCTGGTCCCATGTAACAATCCTCTTGCAGATGGCAGAGTCCATCGCATTGTTGCGTGGCCTGCTTAGCAGGGTGTTTGGAGATAAACAGTTGTACGCATGCATCTTGCTGAATGTGCTGTGCTGAAATCAAGGCGTGGATTGTCGCAGAGTTCCTGCCCCATTGGTAGAATAAAAAATATGTATTTGGGATGCATGCAATGCTTGTTGATATAGCATTTAAAAATTCCTTGGAAAAAAAACCCCAGCATCATGTCCCTATAGGGGTCTTGATTTTGGTCCAGATTCTGCATTTGACCTCCCAAATGATTGAATAAATACTATGATGCTTATTGTTACTGCCCAATAGAGACCCCTTTCAAAAGGGAAAACCCCACGATATGACTAAATTAGGCAGAATTCCCCCCCCCGCCACTGTCTACAAATGGCTAGTGACAAGGACAGCCAAAACTACGATCACTTAGCAGGAAGTCAAGTGGGATTAAACGTCAATTTTCTTTCCTGGGTCGTTAGGGGGACCATTGAGACCTTGACCAGTTTGTCAATGTCTGTGTTTCAAAGTCCTGGGTTTTCAGGAGATCAACTGGAAGCCGTGGACCTGCACCTGATGGAAATGGATACTGTACTGACGGCAAAGCTGAGGGATTAGGGAGTCAAGTGCTCACAATGTTTGTTTTAAGCCAAATTATATATAAACAGTCAATTGTCTGAAAGAATGGTCAGAAAATCCTGGTCATGTACAGCAGGCTTGCCAGAAAAAGAGAATTGCACTTATCGTACTGCGTCTCTCCCTCGTGCCTCGAGGTGTCTCACAGATGATGAATTACTTTGGAGGGCAGTCATCACTGCTGTGTAGGCAACTTCAGCTAGTTAGTTGTGTACTGGACATCAGAGAGAGAAAGGTGGGTTCCCACTTTGGATGAGGCCCTTTGTTTGAAGAGTTCTAAGGAGAGCATTGTGCATTGTGCATTCCTCCAAATCTTCGAATACTCCCACTGTTGAGTTCTTCAGCCCACATACCAGGCACTGATGGATGCACATAATTATTGGAATGGCATCTCCCATTTATCTTCGAGTGTCAGAACATTAGCTTCACTTCAATCCCAGTCAATCCGTGATGTATATCCTAAAAACTGTGCTTTTTGAAAAAGGGCTGTGATTTAAAATTGCAAACACTTCCCGCCTGGATTGATGTTTAATCCCACTTGACTTCCGGTCTAAGTGATCGTAGTTTTGGCTGTCCTTGTCACTAGCCGTTTGTAGACAATTGGGGTGGGGGAGGAAATTCAGCCTAATTTAGTCATTTCGAGGGGGTTTTCCCTTTTGAAAGGGGTCCCTATTGGGCAGTAACAATAAGCATCATAGTCTTTATTCAGTCATTTGGGATTAATCCATTGTTTAGGCAGACAAATGGTGTCCAGTTCCCTGAGGCCAATTGTGAAGTGAGTAAGGCCTGTGGACTGAGTCACTTGTTACCAAATGACAGGAGAAATAGTGTAAGTGAAAAAGCAAAAGTGAGAATGATGAGGCCACAGTGAGAATTCTTCAAATCTCTCCTTCCATTCTATGTGGAAGGTCGGTTTGTTACCCCACACCCCCTCCAAACCTCCTCTGATGGCCACCCACACGGCCAGGCCGTCTCACACAGCGAGGAGCTGGTCACCCATCAACCGCTTTGGAACTTATCAAGTGACTGACCCAGTAAGATTTTGCCCTAATTGGCATCCTTCCTTGTCATGGGCACCAAAGTGGGATAGTCTGGATGAACCAACCTGCAGCATGCACTGAGCTACAGTAGAAACAGCAGACCAATTTGCAGAATGGCCTTTAGTTGAAAGTCTGCTGTAAATGAGATTTCTCAACCATGCACCACGCCAAAAATACATCATAACAATGTCAGCTGTATCATGCCTGGCATAGGGTGTAATTTTAACAATGGCCCATTGGTGTGAGAAACTTGGCCACTTAAAATATACAGCCCAGGAACAGGCCAAACTAGTTTACGCATCCCACAAACTGCCTCTGACTCTATACATTTCATCCTATCAGCACATCCTTATGTTCCTTTCCCTCTTATGTGTTTATCTAAATGATGCTATTCACCTCAACCACTCCCTGTGGGAGCAGATTCACCCACTCTCTGGGTGAAGAGATTTCTGTTCAATTTATTGGTGTTTATCTGATATTTATGGTCCTTTAGTCTCCACAAGTAGGGACATCTTCTCCGAGTCTATCCTGACCCCTATCTTTAAAGACCTCCTATAGATTGTCACGCCCCCCCCCCCCCGCCCCCTCAGCCTTTTCTTTTCTAGAATAAAGATCACCAGTCTGTTTGGGTATGTATGACTCCTCAGTTCTGGCATGATTTCTTTGCGTTTTTACCAGTGCCCCCATTTCCTGTTTGAAATCTGAAGCATTGGGCTTTGCACTGTATTTGAAGTGAGGTGCCACCAGGGTTTGATGTCCCCTTGCAGGTGGCACCGTGTTTTGTACTATTGAGGAGCTCAGTTGGCAGGATGTTTGGAGAACAGCAGCTGTATAGATCCCACTTCCCTGGGAAGCTCTGTTGAAAGTTTTGTGCTGAGTGTAAACAGCGTGCGGTGATGCTGTTCTGCAGAAGGCTTATTGCCAAAATAACCATAAATGTGGCGTTTGTTGACATAGGATGTGAGTTTCTGAATACCCATCCATTAGTTTTGTTTGCATTTGGGCCTGCGTTGTTGTGCTGCCTCTGTTTCCTGTCCCCTTTTCTTTACCTCGAGCTACAGCCTCTTCAGTGGGTGACTGACAAGGGGCAGATGGGGCTAAACCAGGCTCCGGTGAGTTGTAGTAACAGTAAGGTCATCGGGTGCATAAGCACATTCCGATTGGTGTCCAGAGGTGCAGAGGAGGTGGTGTTATCTTGTGCACTTCCTATCTTGTCTTCTTTTCAGCTTGTTCAGGGTTTCACACAGATGATGTGATTTCACTGAAGGGACTCCCAGAGGGAGCCTGGGTTCATGTCAAGCTGCATGGGCGCTGCTTCTTGAGTTCTCTGCCCCAAGGCAGGTCTTTGCTGGTTATTTGTTGAAGCATAGCGAAGTATTATGATGTTTTTTAAACTGTGTGTGTTAATCTGGTAAACATCCATCCAGTGAAGGAAGAAGCAGGAGCCAGTTTGTCTCCCGCATGGGCAACTTCAGAACACTCCATACAGCATGCGTGCAGGCTACTTTTCTATCTAAGGTGGAAAAGGATTCTTGTAATTATTTTTGATCAATCTGTTTGGACATTTATGATGCACCTCCAGGCCAGTTAGGACATCAACCCAGATCTTCTGGACTAGAGGTAGAGGCACAGCTCTTGTGCCACTAGAGTCCAACAACAAATTCTCATTCCCCAACTGGCAATCCAACAGCATTTGATTTCTTGGTGAATCGTTTTGATTTTCTCCTTTTTTGTTTAAAAAAGTATTGCTTCGGCAAAAACAGCAAGCAGTAAGATGGAAGAGCCTTGCATCTGGCAGGATTTGAAAACAAAAGCTAATGGGAGAGGACGAAGAAGACTGTTGGCCCACAAAGAGAGGCCATAATTCACCTTCAGAAATAAATTCCATTTTAGCAAATAAATAAAAATGTAACAACAACAATGTCTGTGACCTCATGTCACTTCAATTCCGCACATGAGGGAAGAAAAAGATTTGCCTGCAGCATACATCCGATCTGATGCTGGGCCTCCATTTCCTGCTCATTACAGCAACTGCTATTTTCAGCAATGGCTGCAGAGTGCCAGAGTCCAATGACCATACACTGTGCTGGGTATGTGGCCAGCACAGACGTGAAGGATTGCTCCTGAACTTCACTTTGTAATGGCGTGAGCTGATGATGGGGAGGAAATGACCCACTTCCTACAAATTGCAATGCATTGCCACTTCCACATGATGGAAATTAATCGGCCAGTTGATTGTTCAAAGAGGCAGGATGTACCGGAGGAGTTCCTAATCTAAGTTTCAAATCCAGCCCAGGCACATGGGAGGAATGTCTCATCCGCCTGTAGCTGGTGGGTTTTTAAAATGGGAAAGTTTAAGGTTTTGAAATGTTCACTTTTAAAACTTTCATCCCTATTTTCAAATCCCTCCATGGCCTCACAACTCTCCATCTCTGTGACCTCTCACAACCCAGGGAGAGGGGGCAAGAGATACAGACACACACGTGCAAACTCACACACACTCTCACAGACACACACACACACATACACAGACTCACACAGACACATACCACACACTCTCTCATACAGACGCACACACTCTCACAGACGCACACACTCTCACAGACACACACACACAGACTCATACCACACACTCACGCACACTCTCACACACGCACATACATACACACACAGACTCTCACACACACACACAGCCACACACCACACCCTCTCTCTCTCACACACACACAGATATACACACACACACAGATATACACACACACACTCAGGCACACAGACACACGCACAGACTCACACACACTTATACACACACACAAACACAGACACATACACACTCACACGCACACACACACAGACACACACAAACACGGACACACTTATACACACACACACACACACACACACACACACACACAGACACGCACACGCTCAGACACACACAAACACATACACACACACACACACTCAGCCACACACACACACACACACACACACACACACTCAGACACACACACACACACACCCTCAGACACACACATATACACACACACAGACCCACATACACATACACAGACGCATACAGACACACACTGGGGAGTGGGGAAAGAAAGGAAGAGAGAAGAAGAGAGACTGTGATGGAGAAAGAAGAGGTGGGTGACAGTTGCACGAGGATGGGAGGGGGTGGTGGGGGAGGGAAGTGAGGAGGATAGGAAATCCTCGCTTGCAACTTACGGCCAGGTGCATATTGTAAGTGGTAAAAAAAACTGGCAGAGATTTTGCACTTTTCATGTCCAGAAGATGTTTCAGTGTGCTTTCCAGCCAATGAACTGTTTTGTGAAGTGTAGTTGCTACTGCATTGTTGGAACCACAGGAGCCAATATAGGCACAACAAGCTCTCAGAAACAGCAATGTGATAATGACCAGATCGCTTATTTTGTGATGTCGATTGACGGCTAAATGTTGACCAGGAGACCCTGGCTCTTTTTTTAAAAGAGTGCAGAAGCATCTTTTCTGCCCACTTGGCAGTTCAGAAGTGGGCCTTGGATTAACTTCTCAACCAGCAGTGCAGCATTTCCTCAGTACTGCATAGGCCTGTTGAGTTTGTTTTGTGCTTGTCTCTGGAGTGGGACAAGAACTCACAATGCTCTGGGCCAGAGGCATCTGAAATATGGCTGAAGTCGGGAGGGCCAGTGACGAAGAAGTGGAAATGTGAATGAACCTCAGGCCACACTGTGAACACCAGTGGTCAACGCAGACTGTTCTTTCCAACACTGGTAGGTTATTGATAGTTACCATGAATTGATTGACTGCACTCTGCATTTGATTTTACAGGTACAGCAGTGGCAGATTAAAAAAAGAGAACAACTTAATATGCACAATGACATATTCAATAAATGTACTTTATTCTTTTCTTAGGTGGGTACGAGAGTTTTTAAACGATGAAAATCAGGGTCTCAATGTCCTGGTGGACTATCTCTCCTTTGCGCAGTGTGGAGTTATGTAAGTAGCTGGAGGGAGGGTTGCCTGGTGTTACACTTCTCCATCTCCATTCTTCCACTGTGGTGTTTTTCAAAAAAAAATTGTTCCATTTAAGGCTTCATTCTCTGCTTTTTCATTTCTTATCTGTGCTCTCCTTGAAATCTTTCAACAACGGAAGTTCAGTCACAACAGATGTTAGGACTGGATGCATTAAAACTGCCTGAACAGTTAAGCTCTCTGGAATACGCTTGTGGTAAGTGAATTGTGTGGGAATATACTTCAATCTTGAGTGGCCCTTTAGTATGGAGGTGGTAAATTGTCTTCACATTCTAGAATCTAAGTTCCAATAATTTGCAGAGATTGATTCTGACCTCCAATATAAATCCCTCCAGCCATCTTGAAATGAGGTCTGCTGTCAGCATTGAGCTTCCAGTCGAATGGGATAAGCAAGGTGACTTGATTTGAAACATGTAAGATCCCGAGGGGTCTTGACATGGTGGCTGTGGAAAAGATGTGTCCTCTTGTGCGAGAATCTAGAACTAGGGTTCACTGTTTAAAAGCAAGAGGTCGCCCACTTAAAACAGATAAGGTGAAACTTTTTCTGAGTCTTTTGAACACTCTCTTCCTCAAAAGGCATTGGAAGCAGAGTCTGAATATTTTTCAGGTAGAGGTGGCTAGATTCTTGATAAGCAAGGGGGTGAAAGGTTATTAGGGGTAGGCAGCAATGTCAATTTGAGGCCAAAATCAGATCAACCACAATCTTATTGAATGACAGAGCAGACTCGAGGGGCTGAAGGGCCTACTCCTCCTCCTTGATTGTATGTCACACAAGAATCACCGATTCTAATTAAATTGATCCGCAGGATCAGTTGCCTGTTGCATTTCATCTTGTTGGTAACTAACACTCAGCAGGTGCTGGATTATATTCCAGCAGTTGCCACTTGAAATTTGGACAAGCAAAAATTACTGTGGACAGATTAGGCTCCCCTCAACTCAGATTTTTCATGGATGGTGCAACATTACTCCACCAGTTTATTCATTAAATTTTTCAATGTGGTTTTTAAGCAAGATTTTTTGATTTGTTTTTTAGAAGTTGAATTTGACTTAATGGAGTGTTGGTCTTTATTACAAATGGGATTGGAATATGAAAGTAGGGAGGTCTTGCTCCAACTCTGTAAGATGTTGGTGAGACCACACCTGGAGCACTGTGTACAGTTTCAGTTATCTTACTCTAAGAGCAATGTACTTGCATTGGAGGAGAGAGTTCACTGGGTTGGTGTGGGGATTGTCTTACGAGGAAGGTTCAAGCAGGTTGAGTCTATGGTCATTGCAGTTTAGAAGAGTGAGAGGTGATCTTGTGAAAGCTTGGTAGCGCCTGATGCTGAGAGATTGTTTCCCCTCATGGGGGAGTATGGAACAAGGGGCCACGACTTCAGAATAAGGGATTTCTCACTTATGATGGATATGAGGAGAAGTTTCTTTTTTTCAGAGGGTTGTAAATCTTTGGAATCCTCTACGTTGGAGAGGAAAGGGAGATTGGGAAATTGAATATATTCAAGGATCAGTTAAACAGATCTTTGACCTTTCGGGAACCTCAGGGTTACAGGGGACAAGCAGGAATGCAGAGTTGAGTTTGAGATCAGATCAGCCAGGATCTTATTGAATGGCAGAGCAGGCTCAAGGGGCTGAGTGGCCTCCTCCTGCTCCTAATTCTTATGTTTTTAAGTAATGACCAGCTGGGTCCAATGTCATTGTTTAATCCTGTCCAGTGCAGGACATTCCCAGAGACCAAGGGGTGATCAAGTCGCCCACAAAACCCAGCAACTCGTTTCCTTTAGGGTTTACATTTTATATTGATTCAGTTGTTCTGCATGTGGCCTTGGCAGCTAGGAAAATGCTTAACACTATTGCTTCATGTGTGTATGAATCCTAAATCAGAATGCCAAGATCTGTTTACATCAGCAGCTGGAGAGAACTGGGGTTTAATGGACCCAGGCAGTTAAATTCTACATGTGGCTGTCCCCAGACTTTGTGGTGTGCACCCCAGCATCCCACAATGGCAAAAAACATCGACACTTCAGTTACAAACTTCTGTTGTGTGAATTTTCCTGTGCTCCTTTCTCAGGGGCTTTCTAGACCTCAGCAACACATTTCTAACAGGTTTTACAGCTCCACGCTTTTGGCATTCTGCATTTCATGCTTCATTTCATCTTCACAGACCCCTTCCCCCATTTTTCAGTGCTTTCAGTAACCCCAGCTTTGAGTGTGAAGTGCTTCTGAAATAGTCTCAAGCGTCTGACTGGCATCGACCCACCGGCTTTCCACATTTTTGAGCTTTCCCACAATGGACCTCCCTCCTCTTTTGCATTTGGGTTTTTTTTTGTGTCTAGGTAATGACCATCGGGCTCTGGAAAGAACCAGTCTCTGCACAAACAGGTAGGGGGGATTGACCCACACTGAGCAGAAATGCCACCTTCTTTGAACTGGATTTTACTAGAGCAAGCACTTTAAGTGCTTTTCCTCTTGCACAGGGCTATCGTTGCAGGTGAGAAGTGGTGTATAATATTGTTTGTGTCACATCAATTCTTCTCACTAGTTCAATTTGTTCTTACTGGAACAGTGTGATTAAGTTGATGGCGGAAAAATCCTGATGTTTAAAGCAATGTTCAAATCTTCAAGGACAAAAAAATCTGTGCAAAACTCCTAAATCCTGATTTAAACATTCCGAGACGGCCATTTAAAGGGTAGTATACCTTTTTTTTTCCCGTTAATGAAACAGAAATAGGCACATGGCGATTCTGTACTTAAAGGGGCTACATGTCAATCAGTGTGGACGGGGGTGATCAAAAGACATTTTTATCCCATTGTGACCTAGGTTTGACTTTGACCTTGTGGAGAATGGTGATGATGGTGCCCTCGACAAGTCGAAACCCTGGGGCAGGTCTATAGAAGATCTGCACCAGAGCAATGTCCTGCCCCTGGCTTTCAGCAACAGCCTCTCTCGCTCTGCCAGGCAATCTATCCTACGGTATGTACTGCTCGGCTTCTAACAGACACGCAGGGATGCAATGAGTGCCTAACTTTCCCCCTCCCAAGGTGTGCACACCGTCCAGACCTCATATCTTTGAGGAATGTTCGTTAGTTTTCCTATTGGTGGCATTATTAGCTAGCTTGAGGTGTGTAATGAGAATGGGCCATATTTCTCTGCTGTTGTGGGTTATACTGTGGCCTTTCACTATTGGCACTTGGGTTTACATCCAGCCCAGACTGACAAGCTGTTAGCTATAAGTAGCCAGTGTGTAATGTCTTTGGGCCATTCCTATCCAGCTCCACAGTACATAGCTCCACAGTATAACATTCTTCCTAACTGGCAATTTACTTCAGAAAGGATGCTGATGTAGTAGGAGATGCTGGGTAGTAATGTTTGTTTCCACGTTAGCTTTATTCCGTTCGTCTGTGGTGCATTTGACCTGGGATTTGGAATTTTGATGGTGGTAATAGGTGGGCTTAAACAGAGGAGGAAAGTAAAAATTCACTCTCTTAAACTTGAGCATGAAAGTTGGAAATGTGTTTTTTAACATAGTCCAACTATTTGCACACCACCCACAAACTGCAGTCTTTTTTAACACCCTCGACTTCTGCAAGATGTTAGTCTCAATCACAGCCCCCAACTCCATGTGCTTTTCACAAGTTGAATCCAGGTTTCTCTTTCATTCAGTTACTTTCACCAGTCCTCTCCTGGCCCTGGTTTTATTGTTCCTGATTGGCATGAGGGAGAGATTTGGGCTGAACATCTGGAGCACATGTGGGCATTTATGCAGCAGCTGTATATTCAGTGGGGGTATGTTCATAATTCTCTGTCGGGGGCAATTCTGTCAGTGACTGTGTGCCAAATTAAATCTAGCTTTCTTTTTCAGTGTTCTGGCCTTTGCACCAAAGTGAAATGTACATACTAAGTATGCAACTGCAGAGAAAAATAGAAATACTGCTGTCCCTCAAACATGAAAGGACACAGTGCTGAATATATGAATTCCACAAGCTTTATTTAGATTGACCTTTTCTACGGTATATACATCAGGTAGTTCGAGGTTGGTGGTTTTTGTGGGCACAATTCCCTTTCCACCCCTCCGAAAGGAGGGGACTGTTCAAAAATCATTGAAAATCACTGAAGACCCTTGCCATTTTTCACATGTGAACATGCCCACGATTGTCAATAGTCTGTTTACGCACAACAGCAATCATCACAGGCAGTGCTGACTGCAATAAAAACAGAAAGTGTTGAAGAAACTCTGAATAAGAGTCATACTGGACCTGAAACGTTAACTCTGTTTTTTTCTCTCTCCACCAACCTGCTGAGTTCCTCCAGCAAATTCCGTTTTCCAGATCTCCAGCATCTGGAATGTTTTGCTTTTCTTTGAATGCAGGCTGCACTTCAGCCCTCCAGCAACAGTCATTGGATAGTGATCAGGAATGTGAATGATGACTTCTGTTGAGAGTTGCCAACCCTGGTTGAATGTATTTTAGGAAACCTCATCACATGATCTACCACTTCAAACTGCCCCACTTCTACCACTGGTTGCCCAAAATGTCCATCCTCATGACTCTCAGTCTTCACAAGCCAATTGGAAAGCCAACAGTTGAGCAACTTCCTTTTCCTGTCTGTGAATGTTTTATGAACAAAAGTATTCCATGTAAACATTTTCTTTAAAAAAAGCACTGTTGTTTTGAGCTCCCCTGTGACTTTTCTACCATGTAATACTGCAAAGGAATCTCCAGACTAAACCTGAAGGGTTGCTAACTCTATTTCTGATTCTCAGAGATCAACAATGCTGGCCTGTGCATTGTTAGTTTAGGGTAGAGGCACCAGATCAAGGCAGTGTGTTGGGAGGATGGGTCTGTTGGACATCAGATGGTGGGAGAAAGAGGGCAGGTCAGGTAGCAGGTGGAGTACAGTCAACGGAATTGACAACCTTGAACACAAGACAGAAATTGTTATCCACATTCCGATCACTGTTTGTTATGAATTCCCTTCTTCCCAAAAGCAATGACATCAGCTTAAATTTGAGCTCCTAGTACAGGTGATATTAGTGAACTACCTGCTGTTGTTAACAAAGTGACAGCAGAATAACTGTCTCCCTATTCTCCAACAATCTGCACTTGCAATTGAACAAAATCTTCAATGACAAAAAAAAGTTTGCTCACTGAATGTAGCATTGTTCCTTTAAAACTAGTTTTAATGTATATTTTTGTATGTGTGTGATTATATGTATGTTCTGTGTTTACCTAAGATCCATCAAATCTGAAGACAAATTGGACTGCATTCCAATGTTTTTGTATGTGCATTTGTGTGGAAAGGTTTCACCAACTCTCCGAGTTCCCTGTTAAAGCCCATTCTGCTTCAGTTTGACGGATCATTTTAGCGGGACAATGCCGTGTCAGTGCATTTAGAAGGTGTGAGTAGTAGCTGGGACCTTTTGAACCTTATCATGACAAAGCTAACCAAAGTGACCTTGCCTTAAACCATTGCATCCCTGGAGTCTCGGCTTTACAATGTGCTGATAACTTGCCTATTGCCTGCTATTTGTGCTGCTGATGTTCTGTGCCAGAGCTGCATTTTGCCGATTTGATGTCCCACAATATAGCGAGCGGATCAGTTAGTGCTGTGCCGTACTTACATTGAGACTGTGGGGTCATGTTGGCTATATTTCCAAATGTTTCTATGTTTAATTTGTAGGATTCTTTCCCTCCCTACTCTCTCTCCTGCAGGTTCGTCGCCATGGTGGTTTTGTGGTCACGCTAATTCCACTCTTCCTTTGTGACGTGGCTTTTTATTGCATCAATGTATTGCAACACAGAGGAGGGGGGACATTAACTGATCCTGGGTTCTCTTGGAAGGGAAACGAGGCAGGGGGTGGGAGGTACTGAACAGAGGTAAGGAAATCTCTCAGATGAACAACCCAGATTATCCTCACAGTGACCATGCACTCCAAGAGAAACACACAGATGCACATGACATTGAAGAAATAGACTCAGGAGCAGCGTAAGGGTGGGTCCACTAGCTCTCACCAGTTGACTCTTCACAGAATGCTTTCCATTTAAAGTTCTGACTCAGCCATTAGGCTTTCTCTTCCAGCCCCCAGCATGTGAGCAATGACACCCTGACCGTGGGTTTCTTTCTTGGCCATTTTAGTGCCTCTTGTGCCATGAATCATTCGTTGGAGCGTAGGGCTCCTGCTGTCAGCCTGACTGCCCTGTCTGCCCACCTCCAGCTCTCTCTTGGGTCCTTAAATCCTATTGATGGCCACCTGTTTGTGGAGGTCAAGTTGAAGTGGCAACCGGGTCCCACTGGAGTGAACCAGAGATCCTGATAAATCCATTACAGACCTGCCCATTATCTGACACCTAGGTAGTTTGTGACTATGTGCATTTATATATATTTCCTGAATTACAGCAAAGATCTGTGCTTGGCTTAAAATAAGAAGGGTCTGCCTCTCTTTCAATATAAACAGCAGAGACAGCTTTCTAGAATGAGGCTGAATTAATGATTGGAGATCTATTCAGTGTGCTAGCTGGAATTCCAAGCTCAGATGGAGACCTCTTGGGTTCTGTGATATGCTGCTGTCCCCTGGCATGTTTTGTTTCTTTCCTTTCATGATATGGGTGTCATTGGCAAGGCCAGCATTTGTTGCCCATCCTTTGTTGCCCTTGAGCCTTTTGGAGGGCTGTTGGGAGTTAACCACATTGCTGTGGGCCTGGAGTCGCAGGCGGGCCAGACTGGCTGAGGACAGCAGATTTTCTTTTCTAAAGAACATTAGTGAACCAGTTTTTTTTTGGCTGAGACGAGCTTTCAGTTCCAGATTTATTAATTGAATGTGAATTCTGCCAACTGTTGTAGTAAGTTTGAACATACGACTCCAGAAAATAGCCTAGATCGGTCATCGAGTGGCATTACCACTGTGCCACCAGTTCCTCATTGATTTGATCTGCAAAGGCATGAGCATCATGTACAGAGAGTCCACTGTCCAGCCCATTCAAAGTCAGTGTTTTGAGTCATTTCCGCTTTAATGACCGTTTTCCTTCAAATTGAGGAATTGCACTTCCTCCTGAGAACCACCAAGTGAACCACTGTTTGGTAAAAAGTGGTCAGTTCCAGGGGGGTCGTTGTGAAATTTACATTTGTATCTTTGGTTTTTGAGATTGTGATACTAAATGATTCTGCCAACCAGGGAATTATTTATGAGCCATCTGGTTTACGTATCACAGATTTTCATTTCCTGTTCTTTACATCGGGGGTTCTTCCAACATTTGGTCACGCTATACCCACAGAGCATCTTACAGGTGGGAGGGCATTGCTGGGTTCGAACACTGCCTACCAACTGACAGACCATGGGTGGTTCTTCTCTCCCCTCCCCCGATCACATGGCCAATGCTCTGGTCTTGTTTCTCCACTGTGTGTCTTCTTATTTTAATATCCTCCACTGTAGCCATGCACAACTTTATGGCCTTGTGGGGACACCAAGTGCTGTCAAATGTTATTAACTACTTTGGAATGTTTTTGCTAGATAGAGCAATGAATGGAAGTGTTTTCAATAAGGAACACATTAAAATAGACCCCAGCAACTACAGGGCTCCAATTCCAGGCTGTCATTATTGACATGCTTCCCAGACCTGTGACCTTTGCCACTTAGGGTGGACAAGGGAGAGTTGGTGCATGACAATAATGTCCTGACTTGGCCATGTAGCGCTGTTACTTTACTGTGAAAGTTACCCGTGCCGCATGGCTGTTTAGAAGGTTGAGAAGCGATCATTAAGATTCTGAGGGGTGTTGACAAGGTAGATGCTGAGGGGATGTTTCTCCTTCTAAGGGAACCTAAAACCAGGGGGCACAGTTTCAGAATAAGGGGTCTCTCAGTTAAGGTAGAGATGAGCAGGAATTTCTTCTTTGAGGCTCGTTCATCTTTTAAATTCTCTTGCACAGAGAACAGGGGAGGTTGGGTCTTTGAACATATTCAAAGCAGAGATGGACAGGTTCTCAAGATACAATAGGAGGAACAGTGGGATAATGGTGCTGAGACTGCAGTATAACCTGAATTCATATCCAACGCCATGTTGTAACATGACGATCAGCAGTCATATCCTACCAAGACTCTGAGAAAAGAGGATGGAAATGTTGGCGTCCAGAGTTCAGTACAATGTAGAACAGTGTGTAAGTCAAAGGGTTTGTTGGAATGCATGAGTGACGGTCATTCTGGATAAGACAGGGACCTGAGGCACCAGACTGAAAAGTGAAGGCAGTGCAGTCTCTGCAGTGGCCCCATGGCAGCCTAACCCAGGAGGGCACAGCAGAGGATCCGCATCGACCGATCAATCCCAGATTCGCAGCAGTGCAGACAGCTCGAACCAGAGGCCACACCATCAAACTGATCACGTTCTTCTCAAACAGCAAAGCAGGCTTGAGAGGCTGTGAGGCCTGCTGCTAGGATTTCTTGTGTTGTGAGGACTGCAGGGATTTGAGAAGAAAGCATGCCGTCACTAACTTCTTGAGGGCAATTAGGGATGCTGGCCTTGTTTGTGCACCCCACCCCGCCCCCAAGACCAGAAGTCACCTTTGCTGAAGCGGGTCGGTGAGGTTTTCTGTGGAATGGAGAGAGAGGAAACAAAACCAGTCAGCAAAGGGCTGGATACAGAATGATTTTCTCGATTGTAAAGACAGGCCAGAAGTAGGTTAAGTAATCAAGTGGAACACTTAGCCCTACTGAAGAAACAAGCATTTAAGCACTTGGGGCTGTGTGGTCTGATCCAATTGGTAATTCATTCATTTGAAATAGTACAGGAAAGGAGACTTTTTTGAAATGTATTTTTGGTGGGTGATCTAACCATGATTGACTTGTATTTTAGTTTAGTCAGTTTAAGCTGACGTGTAAGAAGGGATCCTTCACGCTGTGCCGAGCCAGTGCAGCAGATTTCCTCTCGGCCTCAAGAGCCTTATGACAATTCAAAACACAGAGCCTTCTCCAAATAAGAAGGCCGAGGCAGATGATCTGAGAACATTATCAGTCCTTGGTTTTGCAAAGACTCACAAACGTCCCCTTCTTCTAATTTGTAGCTGGGTTTTTGTCACTTCTTCTCCAAACAGCCTGGTGCCATCTTATTGAAAACATTGGTGGATGCATTGTATTTGGATTTTTAAAATTAGTCGACGAGGAGCAATACAAGAGGTTGATTGGTTAATTGCTGATTGGTTAATGGACCAAAAAACAGCGAGTAGGTAGAACAGGCCATGACAAACTGCAGGCTGTGTACCTAATATCGTGGTACCCAAGGATCAGTACAAGTTTGGCTCTTTGTAGTCTATATTGAACACCGAGATCATGGCACTGCAGACAACCAGCTATGCTGATGTTACAAGTTAAAAGTAAGTGAACCCAAAGAGGCTTAACAGGATATAGACAGGTTAGGTGCTAAGGGAAAGAAAAGGAAGAAAATTTGGAATACAATGTGATCAAGTGGAAAGCAATTCAATTTTTGGTATGGAATATAAAAAAAGCAGACTATTCTGAAATGGTGAGAGACTGGAGGGACAGGCAATAAATGTTGGCCAGCCCACGTCCCATGAGAGAATATTTTTGAAAAAACATTTTCAGGCTTCTGTTGTGACTTTTAAGCCCTTATGTTTGAGTATTTCCATTTCCTTCTGCAACACACATACCTGTCCCTGATAAGAAAACCACAAAACCCCGGTGAACAGTAAAAGGCTCATTCTGTGGCTCTCAGATTGTTGCATTTCTTTTCTAAGAAGCTTTGTTCGTCACCAGTTCAAGATCACGCCTCCGTTTCATTTTGTGCTTCAGATTTACAAGGCAAGAGTTTTAGAATGCAGAAACATAGAATGCTGACTTCTTCTTCCCATATCAAATGGAGCCTGAAGTTGTACTAAAGCCTATCAGCTGTGTAATAATTGAGACAATTCGTACTAAATTAGTTTGAGGTTCAACTAATCCTATTGACTGCTTGGTTTGATTCACCTCCAAACTGGTTCAGCTAAATTTCTGCTTTTAAGAGATCTTCAACCCGAGTTCAATAGACGCTCTCCTTCTGCACTCACAAAGTGCATATTTATGTTAAAGGAATGAATCTTGTATTGTATAAGCATATGGGCTGCTGTACTCTTCCTGCTGCCCTTGTGATTTGAGAATGATGAGGGATGTGTTTAAAACTCACTGTTCCAACTTTCTCCTCCTCCTCCTGTGGGCTATGGTGTCCTCCTTAATATCTGATGTGGTGGCTGTATCTTCAACTGTCTTGCTCCTCTAAGCTCTGGAATTTCCTCCCTAAACATCTCCACCTCACTACCTCTCCTTCCTCCTGTGAAACACTTTGACTAAGATCTTGGTCATCTTTACTCATATTTTCCTTGTGTGACTTGATGCCAAGTTCTATTTGGTAACACTCCCAAGAGGTGTCTTGGCACATTGTAAAATCTTGAAGGTGCTACATAACTGCAACATTTTAATTGCTTGCCTTATCCAAGTGGCCATGCGTTGGCCTTGATGCCAAGTGTTGACAATCTATTTTTAAAGAGAAGCGAGGACACCTTTACTACAGCTTCTCCAGCCAGCTGGGATACCAGAGGAATGGGCATCAGTTCCTCGATCACCAACCTTGGGACTGACAGCTCTGTTATGGTGGGTATGTGGCCTGTCCTATGATGATTGTAGTAATGCTGAATTTCTTCCACAGCTACAACACTTTGCCTGACAGGAAACTCCTGAAGAACTCCCGACTCGTGAGCCAAAAGGATGATGTCCATGTCTGCATCATGTGCTTACGGGCAGTCATGAACTACCAGGTATGGCAAGTGCCCCTCCATCCAGCAACTTCAAAACAGCATGTTCCCCATCTACGCTTGATATTGTGGTGACAGATGCATGGGTCATTCAGCTCACTCAAATCCATTGAGACAACAGGGTTCACTGACTTTCTGTGATCTGCTTTAATTAAAGATGTGCTGATGACCCCTCCCTTCTGTTTCTCCTGTTTCTTTTTCAGTATGGCTTCAACTTGGTCATGTCCCACCCACATGCTGTGAATGAAATCGCACTTAGCTTGAACAACAAGAATCCCAGGTAAGAAGCCAACATCTTATTGTCCTGCTTATTTCCCTAAAGTCAATGTGAGTCAATACGTTATGCCTCAAACAAATTTGTCAAAGCTTTTGCCACTTGTCTGTCTCCTTGAAAGGTGCTGGGTGTAAGGCAATGGGTTGTAGGAACAGCAGGAGGCCATTCACACAACTCAACCATCCAGTTAGATCATGACTGGATGTTGGCAGCCTAGTGGATGGCTGATTTGTTCAAAGATCAGTGCCAGTGCCCACTGGCACCCTTGGCGGAACGAGGGGCATGCTGACTTCAACCAGTCTGCACTGTGGCATTTCCTGTTGAATCATCAAAATGTCACGATTTGTTAGTCATGAAGAGAACCTTGGGCTGCTGATGGGACAAGCCTGGCAGTAATGTTCCAATTATCCCTGGTCATCAAGTTCTGATGTGGACAATGATGGGAAGTGAAGTCTCTAGTTGTTGGCGAATATTCAGAAGCCTGACCTCAGCACACCCCATCATTGCAAAAGATAATCTTTCTTTCAAACAGGGAAAAGCTTCTGTCTTGATTCTGCCTGTAGCTATAAATCAGAAAACATTTTTTAGATACTGTCTGAGTTACCTTCCAACAGTTCCTGCAACTGACTCGGCCCCAGGCCTGTATCATGAGAGTGGCTCCAGGCATGTAACTTGCCTAAAACGGGCTGACAAAGCATGTCTGCAACGTTGGCCAGTTAGTCAAGGTATACGAAATTAATCGTGTTTTTCTGAGCCATGAGGCTCAACACATCTGAACAGGTGGATTAGAAATAGCTAGAAGGTGGAATAGATGGATCCTGGTCTTTTGCTTTCATATGGCAATTCCTCCATCACCAATGGTGAGTCACTGTCCTGTTTATTTTGCAGAACCAAAGCCTTGGTATTGGAGCTCTTAGCAGCAGTGTGTCTTGTGAGAGGAGGACATGAAATCATCCTGTCTGCATTCGACCACTTCAAAGAGGTAGCAGAGCTTTTCGGTTCAGTTCAGACTATATGGATCATTCAGCATCCTGCTGGTGACTCTTCTATATGTGTGTGTTTGTGGCGAAAGAGAGCTATCTTTGTTCTTTAACATCATTGCAACCGCTGACTTCCAAAGAGAGGGTGGGCTCTCGTGACTTGGGTCTTTGTTCATGGCTGCTGCCCACCAGTGGTGTTGCTGAAATCCCCTTGTCAGAGATCACCCACATTTATCCAAAGTTCTGCCGCTGCCCTGCTGTCTTCAGTTACAGTGGCTGACTGTGTGATGTAGGAAGCCTGTTCTTACTTCATTAGGAGTGAATTCCTGTTTAAATCTGGGCAAACGTCACCCTTCCACATTGTGGGATTGGCACCCAGTGACAATAGCTCTCTGGTATGAATAATTTTGCTGGATTTCTGAGTATTGGAATCTGGTGCATGTGCATCTGTTTTTGTATCACACTGAGAACATGGGAAAAGGAGAGGCCATTCGGCCCTGTAAGTATGTTCCACCATTCAACTCGATCATAGCTGATTGTCTATCTTGGTGCCATTTTCCCACTAATCCCATATCCCTTGTTAGCTTTAATATCTAGAAATCTCTTGATCTCAGTCTTGAATACACTCAAAGACTGTGCTCCCACAGCCCTCTGGAAAAGAGAATTCCAAGGATTTACCACCTCCACCCATGAATGAAGAAATACCTCCCTATCGCTGTCCAAAATATCCTGTCCTTATTCTGACATTCGTCCCTGGTTTGTCTCCACAGCATCACCGCACCTCCCTGCCCCGGCCAAAAAATAATTCACAGGCACCAACAACGTAAAAAATTTGTGAACGTCAGTGAGGTCACCTCCAATTCTTCTAAATGCAAGAAAATACAGGCCCAGTTTCTTCAATACAGCCTCCCCAGGGACCAGTCTGGTGAATATTTGTTGCACTCCCCCCATGATAAATGTGTCCTCCTTTCTGTAAGGACACCAAAACTGCTCTCAATTATAGCAATGGACTTCGCTAACCTTGAAGAAAGGCCCATGCAAGTGTGTAACTCGCAATGATAGTCTGTGAGAGTTGGCTATATATTTTTAGAATCATTCACAGCATGTGGGCATCGCTGACTGGCCAGCATTTATTGTCCATTCCTAGTTGCCCCTTGAGAAGATGGGGGTGAGCTGCCTTCTTGAACCGTTGCAGTCTTTGTGCTGTAGGTAGACCCACAATGCCCTCAGAGAGGGAATTCCAGGATTTTGACCCAGCGACACTGAAGGAATGATGATATATTTCCAATTTAGGATGGTGAGTGGCTTGGAGGGAACTTGCAGGTGGTGGTGTTCCCACGTATCTGCTGCCCTTGTCCTTCTGGATGGAAGTAGTCATTGCTTTGGAAGGTGCTGTCTACAGAGTCTTGATAAGTTGATGAAGGGAATCTTATTGGTGGTACACACTGCTGGCACCGTGAATACTGTTGGCCACCAGTTGAGATTTCCCTGTAAGAGGGGAAGATGTGAATATCACATCAGGGAACAGAGGGGGTTAAGCCCATATGGTGTAATAAAGGTTTACTGAGCACTGAAGATCATTACCTCTGTGTTCAGAAGGAAGAGAACTCGACAGCTTAGTTTTATTGCTTTGTTTGAAGCTCCTCAGCCATATCGTAATTGGACTGCTATTATTGCTTTGCCTTCCACAAGTCAGGTATTAATTTGTTGGCCCCTGCCCAGACTGCTGCTAAGATGGAGTCCATAAGAGTGTTTTACTTTCTTGTAAAAAGTAATAAATGGGGTAACTTTTTTTTTAAGGTGTGCAAAGAAAAGCATCGCTTTGAAAACCTGATGGAATATTTTCGCAATGAAGACAGCAACATTGATTTCATGGTAAGCGCCAGTTCCTCAGGGTCCAAAGGGAACGAGTGCAAGGCTGTGGTGGAGCCCATGTGGGCTGTCTCGCAAAAGGAGTGTGGGCTGGCAATGATGCTGCGGCCACTCCACATTTACCGCTGGCATGAGGCTGTGTTGACAGCGTGGGTGGATGCAATTGCCCTGCGCTGACTGTGCTGGCTCTCATCAATATTCCTAACTTGCTTAGCTCAGTGGGTTTGTGCCTTATCAATAACACGGCAGGTTTATGTGTTGTATGAATGTGTTGACTAGTGTGTAACATGCTACATGAAACCAACCCTTTCATTTCTCACCATTTTTTTTCAAAAAAAAGAGCCATGCACTTCCAATTTACAACACTGCATTGAATCATAAAATGTTGCAGCATTGAAGGAGGCCATTTAGCCCAGAACAGCTGTGCGAGCTTGTTTCCTGAGCTCTCCAATTACTCATTCACACCTACCCTAGAGCCTTGCAAATGTTTCCCGTTGAAGTGTTTATCCAATTCCCCATTGTGTGATGCTGTTGAATATGCTTCCACCACCTTTTTGGGCAGGCATTGTTGTTCATCATGACTGCTGTTTATTTTGTTGAGAATAGGAGTTGGGAGGTCATGTTGTGGCTGTACAGGACATTGGTTAGGCCACTTTAGGAATACTGCGTTCAATTCTGCTCTCCCTGCTACAGGAAAGATGTTGTGAAACTTAAAAGGGTTCAGAAAAGATTTACAAGCATGTTGCCGGGGTTGGAGGCTGAATAGGCTGGGACTGTTTTCTGTGGAGTGTCGGAGGCTGAGGGTTATAAAATCCTGAATACTCATAGTCTGTTCCCCAGGGTTGGGGGAGTCCAAAATTAAAGGGCGTTGGTTTAAGGTGAGAAGAGAAAGATTTAAAAGGGATCTGAGGGGCAACTTTTTCACACAGAGGGTGGGGCGTGTATGGAATGAGCTGCCAGAAGAAGTGGTGGAGGCTGGTACAATGACAACATTTAAAAGGCATCTGGATGGGTATATGAATAGGAAGGGTTTAGAGGGATATGGGCCAAACGCTGGCAAATGGGATTGGAATAATTTAGGATATCTGGTCAGCACGGATGAGTTGGACCAAAGGGTCTGTTTCTGTGCTGTATAGCTGTATGACTGTATGAATTAGACCTTGGAGGAGGTCTCTAAAAGTCTTCTCTTTGCCCTTGCTTGCTGATAGGTGGCGTGCATGCAGTTCATCAACATCGTGGTGCATTCAGTGGAGGACATGAACTTCCGGGTCCACTTGCAGTTTGAGTTCACCAAGCTGGGCCTTGACGAATTCCTGGAGGTGGGTGTGAAAATTGCCATTTGTGTTCATGGTACACAGTCTTTGACAATCCTGCCTACAGTGTACCCTGTTCAGTTCTCATTTTTCCCCACCTGAGTGCAGAGATTCTACATTCGACTAAAAGCCCCCTTGCACATCTAAAGTTCTTTTTTAAATTTTTTGTTTTTGGGATGCAAGTGTCACATTTATTGCTCAGAGGGCAGTTAAGAGTCAACTGCATTGCTGTCATCCTGGAGTTACACATAGGCCAGACCAGGTGAGGACGGCAGATTTCCTTCCCTGAAGGACATTAATTAACCAGATTTTTTTTAATGACTGTCATGATTTTCATTAATGTGCACTTTATTTCAGATTTATTGATTCATTCAAGTTAAATTAGTCCAGTTGCTATGGCAGAATTTGAACTAGTCTCTCTGAGCCTCTGGATTGCTAGTCCCAAACATTTCCACACTGCTTCAGTACACTGTGAAAATAGACCTTGAACTTACAGTGACCCTTTGTAGCCTAAAGCCACATATCCAAACACTGCGAGTACTGGTGTGTCAGCTAGAGTTGATTGTCATAGTTGTATGGCTCACTCACTCACTTGATGCCGACACATAGCACTGCCCCTTAGTATTCTACAGGGGCCGCAGACAGCAACGTGAGGTGAGACCACAACTAAGTCAGTTATGATCCTAATGAAAGGGGAAACAGGCTCAAAAAGCCCACTGCTGCTTCTCAGTTCTATGTTCCCATTGTTGAGCATAATTGCTTTGAAAATGCTCTTGGACCTGTCTGAATGCTTTGGTAGGGATCAGAAAAAGCTGACCTGAAGGCTGTGCAGTGAGTGCACAGACAAAAAGAGAATGGAGTGGCACGGTGGCTCAGTGGTTAGCACTGCTGCCTCACAGCACCAGGAACCTAGGTTCAATTCTAGCCTCGGGTGACTGTGTGGAGTTTGTATGTCTCCCTGTGTCTGTGTGGGTTTCCTCTGGGTGCTCTGGTTTCCTCCCACGGTCCAAAGATGTGTAAGCGAGGGTGGATTGGCCATGCTAAATTGCTCTGTAGTGTCTAGGGAAGTATAGGCTAGGTGGGTTAACCATTGGAAATGCAGGGATAGAGTAAGCGGGTGTTAGGATGTTCTTTGGAGGGTCGGTGCGGAGACAGTGGGCTGAATGACCTCTTTCCATGCTGTAGGGATTCTGTGAATTGTCCCTTACTTTTCTGCAACCTGCCTTTGTAATAGAAAGGCACACAGTTAAATATGAAAGATGTGACTGAGTTTAGCCCAGGATATCTATAGGGTCCTCTTCGGAGGGAAGAGCAATTTGCTACAGGCATGGTTGATGCACTGAGCAGTCCAAGTCACAATGATAAAGAGCAGGGATTTGGAGTCATAATTAAGGAATTGGCAAGCACCTAGGTAAGAGCCCAGAATCTACTCCAGTTGCGTGAGCGAATAACATCTTAATTGCCCAATGCAATTACACCTTCCAAGGCATTTCAATCTGTGCAGTATATTGCCAGTGTCATTAGTTGGCATTCCAGAGGCTTCAGAGTCAGGGCGGCAGCCCTATCACCCCTATTTTCCTTTCTTGTACGTGAACGCACAGTGTGATTTTGAAGCCAGGCAATTGGACAACAAAATCCTGTCTTTATATCTTCCTTCCCCAATAATGGCTGCAATAATTTATTTTCTCTTCAGAAATCTAAGCACACGGAAAGTGACAAACTCCAAGTTCAGATCCAGGCCTACCTGGACAATGTATTCGACGTGGGAGGCTTGCTCGAGGACGCAGAGACTAAGAATGCGGCCTTGGAGAAAGTGGACGAACTGGAAGAGCACATGTCGCATGTGAGTAACACAGCTGGTGAAATGGGGCTTCTCTTCCTTTCACACGGCAGGCTGGTGACCCGTAATGGCAAAGTGTATCATCAGGAGCTGAACACATTACTGCCCTGTTGCAGTATTGGAGTTGGAGGGGGGGTACCACCAGGGGTCTGCATGTGATTAAATTGAGGGTCTTTTAGAGATGTTTTCTAAACAACCTGGTCAGAGATGGTATTACACACCTCTGGAGCAGGTGGCACTTGAACCTGGGCCTCCTGGCTCAGAGGCAAGGACACTACCACAGCACCACAAGTACCCCTACTGAGTGTCTTTCATACTTGGTCTTCAGGTGGGCTTTGGTTTGTGAAGGGGTTGGGGGGGAACCTGACACCATTAGCTGTCATGATTTATATTGGGACATAGGTCCTTTTGTTTAAACTATTTCTCACTACCAAAAATCTCACTGGCTCACAGCATATCCAATATGGTGGATAAAAACAGTTTTGTATCCAGTTGAAGGATGAGGATTTTTTTTCCTATCTTTGGGATATTAGTGTTGGGTAGTCTGCAGTCCACTCGTACACCTACACTCTTCACATGTCGTTTGAATCTGTAACATCTTATCTGGATTCAAAGTGGCTGTTAAGAAGTGCGTGTCCTGTTGGGTTTAGGTTTTGAGGCCGGATGGCTTGAGGACAAACTGGGATCTGTAATTCAGACATGGGAGGGGGCCTGGGAAGAGAGTAATGCTTTGGTCCCAAAGATTCAAACTGAAACCTGTCCCCCTCTCCTTCCTTATTCCCACACCCCCTCACCGCAGTTATCTGAGAGGCTTCAGGAGCTGGAGAATGAAAATATGATGAGGGTAGCAGAACTGGAAAAGCAGCTACTGCATCGGGATAATGAACTGGAAATGATAAAGGTAAGGCCTTCAGGCTGGGAGGAGCGCAGTGTCAACTGTCTCCTGAAGTCTCCTTGTTATTTAAAAAGAAAGTAAGTTGTACAGGGTAGTGACAGTGCTGTCCACTATAAGGAGAGACAAAGCAATGAAAATTGCCACCTAAATGTTTCCAGTGAGGAAGATCGAGGGATTGCAAACAATCCCAGGGAAATATGGAGAGGCCTAATTTAGTTCAGTATTCTTTAATGGGACATGGGTGATGCAGGCAAGGTCACTTTTGTTGCTTATCCCTTCTCGCCCTAGAACCGAGTGGCTTGCTCGGCCATTTCACAGGGTGGTTACAAGTCAACCACATTGCTGTGGGTCTGGATCACGTCTAGGTCAGACTGGGTAAGGATGGCAGATTTCCCTCCCGAGTGGATAAATGGATTTTTGACAACGAATGATAATTGTCATGGCACCCATTATTGAGACTAGTTTTATAATCCAGATTTGTTATTTGAATTTAAATTCCACCATCTGCCATAATAGGGTTTGAACCCACCCCCTCCAGAGCATTAGTCTGGGTCACTGGATTACTAGTCTAGTGGCATTACCACTGTGAAGTCACCTCCCATGGTGGCATAAGTCACTTAACTCCATAGTTTTCACTTCAGCTTTACATGCATTGCTTTGCTGTCAGTGCACCATAGACCATTGTGGGAAAATCTGGGCACTGAAACAAGACCATTTTGCTTGACTAACTTTGACACAATTTTCTGTTGTACTCTGAATCCGTTGAATATGGATTTTTTTTTTAATGGGCTACAATTCCTTGTGCGGAGTCACAGATGAGAATGCTACTGCATCCAAATACAGTGCTTTTTGCTTCCTGTTTGCTGTTTGTTCGAAGCCAGGCTGGACACACTAAGCAGTATGACTTTGAAAGTGTGATTGTGAAAGACCAGGCAAGGCTGGCTTTTATTGCTTATCCCTCTTTGCCCTTGAATCAAGAGGCTTGGACCGTCCTGCACGCCAGGTTAGAGGGCATGCATGCAGTGGCCTGCCCCTTGTCCATTTAAACCAGTTAAGCTTGTTGGAGAGCGGTGCAACTTGACAGCAAGCATAGTTTGATAGCAAGCCGTGCCACCTTGCCAACCGTTTGTGCCCTTACAGGAGACGTACAAGGATGCCAGCAGCCAGGTGCATACATTGCGGAAGATGATAAAGGAGAAAGAGGAGGCTTTACAGCGGCAGTTTCAACTGGAGAAACAGTTGACGGATCTGCGACACAGCTCTATTGGTGATTGTCCCGATGGAGATCCTTCCATGTTATCTCGATCTTCCCTGCGTTCGGATCTAATCCAAAGCGTTCCTTCAATACCAGCACCACCAACTCCTCCTCCTCCACCACTCGCTCCACCGTTGCCAGGTAAAGCTACGCACCACACTATTACATGACAATGGGTTGACAGGAGGGGGTTCCCCAGAAATAGTTGGGTTGGCGTAGCAAAGGTCCAAGATGTTCTCCAAAGCAAGGAAGGTGAATGTGCCTTTGCCTCTCCTTGGATCAAGGGTTGCTTAGGCCCATCAGAACATGGAAATAGACTGGCAGATAACTAGTGCAGCACACTAATGCCTGTCAAGTTGTCTCAGTAAGTTACTTGACTCATTTAATAACAAATAAAGCCATTGCTTGGCATCTTGTAAAAATATCTAGCCTTCGGACAACCCAGGTTGTTCCGATTTGAGACTCTGTACCTGTGTGTAAAATGAGTCAGTTTTCAAAAGAGAACCAAAGTGTCAAATGATGGGCTCAATTGGCCAAAAGCAGCTAACATCCCTTCTCAGATCTGTTAGAAACACGTGTAAACACATCAGCGGAAGTAAAGTGAAATGTTGAACCAGTCCAGTTCCTGGAATCAACATATCCTGCCATCCCTGCTTTCCCTACAAAGATGTCTAGTTGCTGCTTGTGCTCATTTATATTGTCCTGGTTAAGTTCCCCGGTGATTTAATACTTTAGTTTCCCACTGTGTATGCAGGTACCACTGGATTTCCTTCCTTGTTCCATCGCTATTTTATCAATCCTTTGGGAGTTGCCACATCTACCACAGCGAACACATTGTCAGGATCAATCCTGTCCATTCATTGCACAGTCTTGACAAATTCAGCCAGGTTATCTTGAATCCTTGCCCCGTTTTAGAGGAAACCAGAACAAGGTTCCTTTTAGTCTGTCTTCTTGACTAACATTCCTTCCAAATGCCACGTAATCCTTCTCGGCTCTTTCCAAAAGAATGCAGTTGGTGCTGAGGTGAGGTTGATTTTTTTTGTTTTTTGTTTTTGAAAAAGCCCTGCAATCAGGCTGAAGTTAATTTTGAAATGTGGGAGCTGTGGGCCTTGTGTGTTAACACTGCTCCTGCTGGTGTGGAGGAAGTGAGGGTCCCTTGCCTCTGCCTCACTCCGCGCATGGTTGCAATGAGATCAGACATCAGCAAATTTTGAAGAACTCCCAGGCGCTACTCGGTGTTTTGCAAGTGGAACTCGGAGGAAAAAAAAGGTGCCTAAGCTAGCTCCTTAATTAATAAAACAGCCGTACTGAATTTCACCAGAGGAAATGAAATGAAATTATGACTGAATACACCTTTTAGTGCAGATGAGGAGTTGGAAATGGCCCGCAAAGAATTAAATGTAACCTGAAAGCTAAGAATAGAAATTCCAAATGAGTAGAGACAAAGAGAACATGACTGAGGCACCGTAATAAGACCATAAGACGTAAAAACGGAAATAGACCATTCGGCCCATCGGGTACAAGAGTTTGAAGGTCATCTTTGCCCTGATTTTCCAACCTTTTATTGGATCAGTGAATATTATTTTACATAGAGGTGACAGCACAGAGACAGGCTATTCAGCCTAACTGACTATGTTGGTGTTTGCGTTCCACGCGGGCCTCATCTGACCTCATCTGCATCATTGTTGCTTCCTCACTCTTGAGTTTATCTAGCCTCCACTTAATACCACCATATGAGCTACCTCAAGGACTCACTGGGGTAGTGCATTCACCGTTCTAACCGAGCTCTGAGAAAAGATATTTCTGATGAGTTCTGTATTGAATTTATTAATGACTATTTTATATTTACAGGACCTATTTATGGCCCACCTCACAAGTGAAAAACATTTTTCTACATCTACCCTAGTGAACCCTGCATGCTTTTAAAATATTTATCTATGGTCACCCCTCAGTCTTCTCTTTTTTTATAAAATGGAGAGCAAAGAACTGTGCTCAGTACTTTAGGATGCTTGGGAGAGTGCTGCATAGAATGGGCCTTACGCTCTCTCTTACATGTCACTGGCAATGGTAATATCCTAAAGCACTGCCTCAGACAAGGCGCTAGAGCTTTGTTGGCAGCTAATTCGTCACTGATAAAAAGTGTACGTGAAGTAACTGCACAGAGGCTGGTGTATCGTCATCCTTTATTTACATTTATATATACTGGCTGTGGCCAGCCAGCTCGGAGTCAGGAACAAAAATGGAAGTTGCTGGAAAAGCTCAGCAGGTCTGGCAGCATCTGTGAAAAAAGAATCAGAGTTAACGTTTCGGGTCCGGTGAGCCTTCCTCAGAACTGCTGAGCTTTCCCAGCAACTTCTGTTTTTGTTCCTGATTTACAGCATCCACAGTTCTTTCAGTTTTCAGCTCAGAGTCAGTCCCTGAAGTGAGGACATTCCGAATTCCCTGTTTTATACCTATCCGCCAGGACTCCTTGATTGGCCCAGGTTAACAACCGCAATCAAAGATCTCATAGACAATGAAATCTACCCGGTTCCAATCATTACAGTACCCCTCCGGATTCATTGCCTGAGCAAATTCCACACTACCTGCCGATCTTTGACCCTTTCCTCAAGATCAACAAAGAATGCTAGACTCGGGTACATTTTACATCATTGTGTTTCCATGGGGTCTAATCTCTGGTTAAAAAATATATACAAATGGAGTTTGAAGAAATTCCTGGTCCTGTTCAAAATGGCAATATTTTGCTATAAGTAGTTGCAGTTCTTCACCACCTGGGAGTTTTTTTTGCTTCTTCTGCCTGGAATGCATTCTGGGTAAAATTGCCTGTTTAAAATTCAAGCCAATTGTTACAATGCCCACGGAGACCAATAACCTTCAAGAAAATGTATGAATTTTTCAACGACCAACACATGGGATCGCACGGAAGACTTCACGTTTTAAGACTTTTACAATCAGATTAACATCAGCATCAGCTAAGCATTATTTAATAGGCAACTAACGCACTAAACTAGAGAAAAGGTATTCCCCAGTATTATCTTAAGACAACCAAAAACTCCATACCACATTTGTACATTCCTCTGCACCCTTGGGCTGAAAAATGGCAAGGAACATTCATGCCACACAAATAGCAGGCAGTGAATTTCCAATAAGAGACGATCTCACCACTACCCCTTGACATTCAATGGCATTACCATCACTGAATCCCCCACTGTTAACATCCTGGGTTACCACTGACCAGAAACTGCACTGGATTTGCCACATAAACACAGTGGCTACAACAGCAGATCAGAGGTTGGGAATCCTGCAGCAAGTAACTCCCTTCCTGACTCTCCAAAGCCCGTCCACCATCTACAAGGCACAAGTCAGGAGTGTGATAGAATACTCCCCACTTGTCTGGATGCATGCAGCTCCAACAACACTCAGGAAGCTTGATACCATCCAGGACATAGCAGCCCACTTGACTGGCACCACATCCACAAACATCCACCCCCTCCACCACCGACGCTCAGTAGCCGCAGTGTGTACAGTCAACAAAATGCACTGCAGAAACTCACCAAGGCTTCTTGGACAACGTCTTCCAAACTCACGACCACTTCTATCTAGGACAAGGGCAGCAGATATATGGGAACACCACCCCCCTGCAAGTTCCCCTCCGAGCCACTCACCATCCTGACTTGGAAATATATCGCCATTCCTTTGCGGGTCAAAAACCTGGAACTCCTTCCCTAACAGCATTGGGGGTCAGCCATAGACTGCAGCAGTTCAAGGAGGCAGCCCACCCCCACGTTCTGGATGGGGATCTAGGGACAGGCAATAAATGCTGGCCCAGCCAGTGACACCCGCATCCAATGAGTGAATAAAAACTCTCCACAGAATTGTAGTCGTGAGTAAAGCCCGGAGCTCCTCTTAGCTTCATCAGGCTGAATTGCCCAGTATCCTCATAAATATGAACTCTTTAAGCATATTTGTAAGGTACTCTCTGGTGAACCTGTGATCTTGAACTCTTCACAATCTTTGTTTCTTCAAACGGGGTTTTTGACCCCACCGGACCTCTGCTGGGTGGTCTTCCACAAAACTCGCGGTCTGACTTCCTCAGAAAGTCTGGAAGCGGCAAAAACAGCTCCTTTCTCCTTCGAGCCCTGGTGTTAAAACTGACCCCCATTTTCAATACGTTTCAACCTGTGCTCCTGTTACCATGGCAACTGGATCACATGGGCCAGTCTTCTTTGTATAAGGTTATATAGCCCTCTCCAAACAGCCCGGCCTTGATTCAAGGTGACAATTTAAAATGCAACCATCTTCTAAAGCATTGCATTTGTATCACCAGGGAATCA